CGCTTGAGCCCAGGAGTTGGAGGTTGCTGTGAGCAGTGAAGCCATAGCACTCTACCCAGGGGGACAGCTTGAGGCTCTGTCTCAAAAAAAATAAATAAAATAAAATAAAACCATGTGTCTAAGGGCAAATGATTTTGACAATGGTGCCAAGACCATTAATGTGGAAAGGATCATCTTCTCAACAAATGGTGCTGGGAAAACTGGATATCCACTTGAAAAATAGTGAAGCTAGCTCATCTCACACTACATATACTAAACCCTAGATTTGGCAAAAGATTATTTATTTATTTGGAGACAGGGTCTTATTCTGTTGCCTAGGCTTGCTATGGTGTGATCATAGCTCACTGCAACCTCAAATTCCTTGGCTCAAGTGATCCTCCTGCTTCAGCCTTCCAAGTAGCTAGGAGTATAGGTGTGCACCACCATGCCTAGCTGATTTTTTTATATTTTATGGAGATAGGGTCTCGCTGTGGTGCCTAGGTAGGTCTCAGGTCTCAAACTCCTAGCCTCAAGAGGTTGTCCCACCTCGGAATTTCTTTCTTTTCTTTTTTTTTTAGAGACAGAGTCTCACTTTGTTGCCCTCAGTAGAGTGCCCTGGTGTCGTAGCTCACAGCAACCTCCAGCTCTTGGGCTTAGGCGATTCTCTTGCCTCAGTCTCCTGAGTAGCTGGGACTATAGGTACTCACCACAACTCCTGGCTATTTTTTTATTGCAGTTTGGCCAGGACCAGGTTCGAACATGCCACCCTTGGTATTTAGGGCCAGTGCCCTACTCACTGAGCCACAGGCGCCACCCCTCACCTCGGAATTTCAAAGTGCTAGGATTATAGGCTGTGCCTAGCCTATGCTTTAACATTAGAAAAAGAATTGAAGAATGAGCTCTCTTTTGTTCCTTCATTCTGTTTCTGAGCAATCTAGTCCAAAAACCATTAGGTGACCATAGTAAGGTACATAAGCTTGCTGGCCAGAAGGTGGGGTTTGGCAGGAAAGACAGCCAGAGCAGGCTATCGGGATCACCCGTGCAGGCATGTCCCACATAGGGAGTGAGAATACTAGTGAGGGAGAACATGCATGTGGTATGTGATATGGCCTGGTGTGAGGAATCAAGAGCCTCAGTAGGTAAGAACAGAGTCACATTTGGGAGTGGCCTGGCTTGGAGTGTAGGAATAGGAACAGAGTGAGAGGGCTTCCACATGTAGGGAAAGTCTGACGCAGGGTTGGCAGGCAGCGCCTGTGGCTCAGGGGGTAGGGCACTGGCCCTGTATACTGAGGGTGGCAGGTTCAAACCCGGCCCTGGCTGAATTGCAACAAAAAAATAGCCAGAAGTCATGGGACCTGTGGTCCCAGCTACTCGGGAGGCTGAGGCAGGAGAGTCGCCTAAGCCCAGGAGTTGAAGGTTGCTATGAGCTGTGATGCCACGGCACTCTACTGAGGGCGATAAAGGAAGACTCTGTCTCTACAAAAAAAAAAAAGAAAGAAAAAAGCCTGATGCAGGGTGGAAACCCAGATAGAGTGAGGAGTGTGCATCACATGAGGGTGGCTTGGTAGCGTCAGGGCCCACAGTGTGAGGAGGGTGTCCAGGCAGGCAGTGACCTAGCATGGCAAATCAGAGCTCCAGCAGAAGGAGGGAGACAAACCCTACCCCACAGGAATATTATTAGGATCAAATAGATAATATGTGTACAGTGTGTGAGCCCAAAGTAAGCACAGTGTAAGAGTTTGCTATTACAGTACATAAAGGGCTTGGCATAGGGCCAAACACACAACATCCAAATATCTACTTATTAAATGATTACACCATTTTTTTAAATACTGGTCACATGTATGAAAGAGATATGATTATACTATTATACTCTACTTAGCTATATACCACAACTAGTGTTTGGATGATGAGCAAAATTACTTCTAAAAAACTTTTTTTTTTTTTTTTTAGACAAAAATCTCACTTTGTCACCCTCGATAGAGTGCCATGGCACCATTGCTCATAGCAACCTCAAACTCTTGGGCTCAAGCGATTCTCTTGCCTCAGACTCCTAAGTAGCTAGGATTATAGGTACCTACCATAACGACTGACTATTTTTTTATTTTTTTAGAGATGGGGTCTCGCTCTTGCTCAGGCTGGTCTTGAACTTCTGAGCTCAAGCGATCCACCTATCTCAGCCTCCCAGAGTGCTAGGATTATAGGCATAAACCACCTCACTTGGCCTACTTCTAAATATTAACTTCCCCATAAGCACTAAATGTGTACATAACCTTTCAGTCTGGGTTATTTGTTTACCTAGACTTCCAAATGTGCTCTTTCTTGTTTAGTTTTAATTAACTTTTTCGGTCATGTGTCTTTAAACTCTCTCCCTTCATACTGACAACCCCTCCTTTAAGATCTTCTAATCCACATTCTGACAAAAAACCCACCATCATCTCAGAAATAAGCTTAACACATAAAGCATCTAGGTGGTACCAAGAGCTTAAATACACTCAGTGAGTGCCAGCTATTTCCCCACGTCAATACACAGAGCGTAACTTATTCCATCCATACCTGTCCTCGTTTGGGTGCATGCATGTATATTCCTAGGTAGAGTCCCATGGAAGGGGAATAAGCAAGTCGTAATTTGTGTCCAGTTCCAGCAGTGAGCCGAAGGTCTTTATTCACAGGTACATACTCTAGCATATCAGCTACCATCAGGCACATTTGGTCCTGCCCAAGATAAATGTTAACAGGTGGTATTCAAAGAATATTCAGGCTAGATAAACATATTCCCTACCTTTTAAGAAGATGTACTTTCATTATATCTATCACTGTATCTAGTTTATCTGCTGAAAGACCTTATAGGTTTTTGTTTTTAATGGGTGAGATGAAAAATATCTTTTCAGTCTCATGGATAAAATCATCAGCTTTGCTTTTTGGTTAATCTTGGAAATAATTTTTCCAACTTGCATTTTAAAAACACATTTATTGCTCTTAAATAAAGGGTATACTTTGTGTTACTCTTTCAAGTTTCCCATGGGATTTATAATATTCAAAATAAGAAGACAAAAAGTTGGGGCGGCGCCTGTGGCTCAAAGGAGTAGGGCGCTGGCCCCATATACTGGAGGTGGTGGGTTCAAACCCAGTCCCAGCCAAAAACTGCAAAAAAAAAAAAAAAAAAAAAAAAGACAATAAGTTAGGAGGGAAATGTATGCAAAATAAAGCTAAGAGAAATTCTCTAAATCTGGAAATGACCCATAATTTCCACAGCAACTGATCTGATAACCTTTTACAAAAGCAGTACGGTAGATGTCAATTCTCTCACAATTCCAGTTTAAATTACAGTAACTATAGATGTAGCATTTACCTTGAAAGACCACATTCGTAGCTTATGGTCCTGACACAGAGCAAAGATAAAGGCATCATGCTCGACACAGTGAACAGCAAGACTGAGGGGACGATCTGAAGTCCCCTGTTCACCCCTAGAAACATACAGTTAAGTTTTAGTTTTAGTGCTGCAAATAATCTGATCATTAGAACTTGCAATTCAAAAGATATAAGATTGTAAGTATATACTCAGAAGAAGGAATAAGAGCTTATATGCTGGTATAAGACAACTACATTCCTGTTTGGTTTATAATCATTTGCTATAATAAATTTAAAAGTATCTACATAACAATGGACAGTTTCCTTTTGTATTATTTTACTCTAACCATCAAAAATTTTCACCTGTTGGGGCAGCGCCCGTGGCTCACTGAGTAGGGCGCCGGGCCCCATATACGGAGGGTGGCAGGTTCAAATCTGGTCCTGGCCAAAGTGCAACAAAAAAATAGCTGGGTGTTGTGGCAGGCACCTGTAGTCCCAGCTGAGGGACTCAGGAGGCTGAGGCAAGAGAATTGCCTAAGCCCAGGAGTTGGAG